ACACACACACACACACACACACACACAGTGACACACACACACTTTATCTTACTTCCGTCTTGAAAGAAGGATTCCACAACGCCCAGGTAGAAGACAAACACAATGAAGACACTGTGTTCCATTGTGCTGTAGATCTATTACACTTGTGTCTCCGGCGACAGAAAAGAGTGTGTTACAAACAACCCTTTTTTTTGAAAGTTTGAAGTAGATCTAGTGTCCTCTGCAATAAATCCTCGAAATTTTTATTTTTTTAAAAGACACAGCCGGTGCTGTTTAGGGCATGGCGTTCAGGGCTGATGTTACGTACACTGTCGTATACTGATTGAAACTATTTCCTGGAGGTCAATGTTCTCGTTCTGTTTTTAAATAGTAGCGCGAGTACACACATGCCTCGAGGCGGCTTGCATCCTCTGCATTTCACGTGTTGATCATCTAAGTCTGGGTCTGAAAAGAAGAAGAAAGGTTTAGTCTACTAGTAGAGTTAAGTAGAGAATCTTTGGTTAAACTGAATTTTTAACACATGTTTAATCGGCTTATATGCAAAGAAAACAATATCACATGTACACACCCACGTTTATTCTTTAGAGAAAGCAACTAAACTTCTTTATTGATACGAAAAAGCAATACTATGGCTGCTCACGTTTTGAAGTTAGATGCTCTTGAATTAATATCAGTCTATCTATACTTAGTCCAAACAACAAGCACATAAAATGTATTTCAGTGACTATTAACTTACTAACTAGTCGATAAATATTTACAAAGGCTGTTGTCAGGAGCGCGTACCGTTCCCGAGCACTGCACTGTTAAAGTCGCGCACAGCGCGTGACGACCCCGTGATACGAGTGTAAACAAACGTTCCAGCGCTCTTCAGTTGAAGTTGAAAACGTGCAATTTTGTCTGAAGGCAGGCAGAGAGAGAGAGAGAGAGAGAGAGAGAGAGAGGGGGGGTGGCGGGAGGGAGAGAGAGACACACAGAGAGAAGGGGGATAGAAAGAGGGGAAGAGAAGCGAGGGAGGGGGGTGAGAGAAAGATAAAAAGAAATAAAAAGAAAGGAGGAGGAGGAGGAGGAGGAGGAGGAGGAGGAGGAGGAGGAGGAGGAGGAGGAGGAGGAGGAGGAGGAGAGAGAGAGAGAGAGAGAGAGAGAGAGAGAGAGAGAGAGAGAGACAGACAGACAGACAGACAGACAGACAGACAGACAGACAGACAGAGAGAGAGGGGGGGAGAGTAGAAAGAGAGAAAGTTAGAGGGAAGAGAGAGGGGGGAGAGAGGAGGGGGGAGATAGAGAGAAAGAGAGGTTTTTTGGTTATAGTTATTGTCATAAGAATTGTACATGTAATTTATTGATTCCTGTCATTTTCCTTCTGCGTCGGTTCACAGGCTGACACGGTGAAATACAGTCACTATTGTACACATTACACAGATGACCAGTCCCATCTTCCGAAAGCCACCTTCTGTGTCGCATCTCCTGTGTCCCGTCTGGCACCTGTTTTTTCCCATGTCACGTGTCTAATTTTCCATATTATCATATCCCGACTTTAATTCTGTAAGCGCACTTCGTTTTCCTTCCTCTCATGGGACGGAACGTTTGAAGCAAGCCAAAATATAATATAGATAATATTTTACAGGACTACATCACTGTCGTCAATGTCCAAATCAGAGGAGCTGTTTTCAACGGTTTGGATCTCAAAGTATCAACCATATTTTCACGAGTCTCAATCTCTTTGTACCTTCCCAAACACGCTGGGGAAAAGAATCGGGGGTTGGGGAACGCCGAACGACCTTGACTTTGAAAATACGTGCCCCTAACAATTCAGAGTTAGGCGGGCGTACGCGTGCCAAACAACTTCCTCCTTTTACAAAACTCGTACATAAGACAAGAATCAATTTTGAAAACTGGCTCACTCAAAATTTTGTCTGCAACGGTACAAGTGGACTTGTCATTTAAATTTTTTTGTTTTATTTTTAGTAGAGGGTTTTATGGCGCTCGCAACTGCATGAGATCAGGGGGCTCTCGTGGCCTAGAGGTTAGGGTGTTTGCCTCTCATTCAAAGGTCCCGGGTTCGAATCCGGGTAGCGACCAAAAAATTTTCTTCTCTAAAATTGTCTCCTTTCACCTCCTTTCCTGCTCTCTACCACTGTTCTGTTGTCTGCTTTCATTTCCACTTTCTGCCCCCACCCCCTCACCTCCTTTGCCCCCTGACTCTTTCTGCAGCCTTTCTACTGTTACTCCCTGGCTCCTCCTTACTGCTGTCTTTCTGCCACACCCCTGATCTTCTGGTAGAAAAGATCTACACCTAGCCTTCTCGGAAAGGGCGACAAATCTCGGAGGGCCCGTATGCAAGTTGCACACGTTAAAGATCCCTTGGTGGTCTAAAATCGAAAATAGTAGGCTTCGGCCGCCACCCTGGCAAAATTCAAAATTTCCTACCAACTGAAAATATGAAGTGTGTCCCGCGCGCTCATATGACCTTATGCAGTTGCGAGCGCCGTAAAACACTTTACAAAAACAAAAACAAAAAGCATTAGGTCATATGAGCGCCAAGGGGTGGGTATCAACAGAGAAGTCTTTATAGGGAATCAGACTTAGACTGCTCACCTTTCTAGCTTCAATAGCACAAGGTTTGCTTCGACTATCAAAGTACCCCAGGGGAGAGACAAACATGATACAAAAGAAGTAGAGGAAAATGACAATAGTAAGGATAAGGAAAGAAAAAGCAGCAGTTCCCTGTTGTAGATCAGGCACAGTTATGAGCGTGACATGAGTCAGCCCATTTACAATTCTACTATGCTTGAACGAGATATGTCCCCCTTTTGGGAATGGCCTAAAGACACTTTAGTCAGTGGCATTGCCCTGGGGGTGACTTGTCATTTGTCATGAGCATCATAACTGAATCGTGGCTTTTTTTCCCAATCGAATGTGTATCCTCCTATCATTATACAGCACCGGGCCGAGTTCCCTGTTTTATCCCAGCGCCTCTAAAAATCCCATGTCTCCAAACAGAAGGTATTCTCTTTAATTCGATGGCCATTTGTGTGGCATTCATCTGATTGTTTGGACGTGCCAGCTATATGTTCTCTGATGTCTTGTAAAAAGCGTGCTCGTTTGCGTTTTGTTGGTGTCCTGACTTTGTTTCCGTGGAGCATCTATTCTTTGCAAGACTAATGGCTGTCCTTTGGTTTTCAAATTTACAACTTTCTTCTTTGGATCTAAATGTAATTTTCATTTGATGAGATGTGTGCTTAATCTCTCTTCTTTTTCTTTTTCTTTTCTTTTTTTTTGTTTTGTTAAGAGGTTGATCCTCTGGCTTGTTTAATTACTGAGTGAGTGAATGTAGGTTCACGTTTGTACATCGGAGATGTTGATGTGTCTGTTAACAAGTTGTGAGTGATTGTGACCTTGAAGTTTTCATTAGTGTTGATGAGGTGATGGGATGTGGTTTTAGGTAAAGCTTTTTTTCTTCATATAATGCTCATAGCTTGATGGGAGTGGTATAATTGGCTACTTTTTATAGGGCTGGCAATAAGACTTGTAGGTGTGTCATCATATATATTGGGTAAATGTGTTTGATGTGTTATCATGTGAGCAGCTTGACTCTGAAGGTGCAGCTTTTCTTTGTATGCAGCCACCAACAAGACTCAAGTATGTTATTGTTAAACACAGATCATAATAATTATGTTCCTAACTACTAGCTTCAACAGCTTTTTGCGGCGTGAATTGACGTAACACTTTGTCGCTTTTCGTTATTTGAAATCACGGTAAAATAGGCTTCGTGACACAAATGTTAGCGGAATACGACTGTTCGTCTTCGTCCCTCATATCAGTAAAAAAAAATAAACCCCAAAAAACAAGAAAATATCTCCTGCTATTGTTTAACACAATCAGGGCTTTCTTTAACCTTTTTGCTGTTTGACAGTTAAATTTAAACGACCACACTTCCGACAAAGTTCGTTCAGCCAGAGGCTGTCAACAGCTCTCGAATATGTGATCTGCTGCGCAGTTGAACAACTTTTACCAAGGAACACAATTCCCTAATTGATAGCAATTCAATGCAGAATGATGCAGAAACAAAATTCACATAACAAGAAATTAGAATATAGGCCTATGATTTGATGACTATCACACGACACAAACAGCAGTGAAAACATAATCGACTCATTTTAGAACAATTGTGAGGCAGCGTGGTGGAATCAGACACTCGTCAATTTTTGGGCATGTAGAGTTATTGGTGTCACCTTAAAGCTTGTTCACTTGTCTTTATTTCAATGAAAAAAATATCCATTTATCTTGAATACAAGTCGAGATATTTGCGAATGAAGGAAGTGGGGGTCACCTGTTTTCAGAGGTAAAATTAATGTGAAAATGTCTGCCAAAGATGAGTTATTTCCTTAGCTTGGAAACTGAAAATTTACATTTTTTGTTCCTTTAATCAACGTTTTAAAAAAAATTCCACACAGAAATGAGTTCTCTAATGGGCATGAAAGGTGTTGAGCCAAAAAAATAAAAATTTGATAAAAATTCACAAACCTGCGGAAAAATGCAACTTTCTTCACTTTGATTATTTTGACGAGAGCCTGATTCCACCACACTGCCTCACAATTTGTAATTTGAACTGGTTAAATTCACAACGGCTCTTTCGTACACTTTACACTCACGAATTAAAACCGTTATTTCTCACAGACGAATCAATGAAAACTGGTGAAACTTTCACAGGATATCAAGAACAAGATGTAGAATAGCGAAATTGACCAAGAAATAGATTTAGCGGTAGTGTGAACATCCTTTTATGGCTTACGAAATTAGGGGGGAAACGCGTTATGAAAAGGACAAGATCGGACAGCGCTGTGCACGAGTTGGCCCCGGTCAATCCCCGACCCGACGCGTGAAATTGCAGGTCACCTGTCACTGATTTATATATATATATATA